AGCACATACGGCTTACCCGTGATCCTCCCTACCACTCCGCTGCACACGATCGGAAAGTCACAAAGCAGCTTTGCCATATCGTGTTGCTCTGCCTCAGTCAATGCAGTACCTTCCAGTAGTGTAGCCACCATTGCATCTTCTAACGTACCATCCACTGCAATCTCTACCGAACAGCTATCATCGGGTGCTACCAGTGCTGCTGTGGTGCGTTCACCAAGTCGGGTGGCCATGGGCACTGTCAGTCCATCCCATTCCAGTTGTTTGGACGCGAAAAGTAAAATTTTTCCTTGCCGCGAAAGAAAAACCTTTCCCCAGAATCACAGGATAAAGTAGAGTAGTCACCACACGAAAGTCATGCACCACTACACGCGTAGACAAAAATACTGGCAACGCAATCTGCGTTGTTGCCACGTGTGTAGTTCTCCCAACAGTTTTATCCGCCTGATAGTAGGTCGCCTCGCTGCGTGTCAGCACCAACAACTCTTTGGTCTTGTTCACGACCGTCTCCTCTATCGCTGATGAAGAGCAATCTGTGTCAATTAAGGCACGGAAACGGTGTGCCCCGATCAAGACTTCTGTCTTCATCACAGGCTCAGATCGCACCGTAGTAGCTGGCACCGGGCGGCGCGCTTGCAAAGGCGCTTGAGTGTCCACCTCAGCATTCGGCGATGGCAGCGGCGTGCTTTCCACAGCGAACACACTCATTTCCTCGGCCCGATAGAATCTCATCGCACTGAACTCTTCATCCTGTCGTTTCTTGATTGCATCCATCATTGCAGCCATCTGCGTCACCTGTTCCTGCATTACCGCAAAGGCATTGCGACTTTGGTGACCGGCATGGTCACCTCGAGGCTTGTACGACGGGGAGTTCGGGTTACGGAAGCACTCTGTGTCCAGATGCCCCTTCTTGTTGGAGTACGTGCACTGCTTTGGCTTCGACCGAGCGGTCTTCTTTCCGCTTCGGTCGGGCTGCTGCGAGCCCTGATGGTGTCGTTCGGACGTCGTTTTGGGCTTGCCCTGTTGCTCGCCTTGCCGTCGTTGCATCGAGCGACCACTACGCACCACCTTCCTCTCGTTGCACTCAATAGCTTCGAACTTGGCCTCCATACTCGCGAGATCCCAAGTACGGGCATGGCGATTCAGTTCCAGTTGCCAATCGATCGGCATACCGGTTTTAAACATGCGTGTTAAGTCCTCTGGGACCGGGTCGTTTTCCTCGACAAAAGGAATCATACGCAGCAACTTGCGAAAGTTGCGTGCATACTCACGCACTGTCATCGTGCGTGTCTTTTTCGCTTGCACCAGCTCGTCCATGATCAGAGCCCGAGTTCCAGGAGGGCAATGGACTGCAGTCAGCCGACGGAAGGCTTGGAGAGCGACGTTGGTGCTCGTCAACCGCTCCTCAGCCACGATCTCGTTGAACATCAGCAGGTCATCGTCCTGCAGTAGAACCTGAACGTCTTCAACGAAATCGAGCTGGTCTTCATCGCTGTGAGTGTACCCCATGAACACGAAGTTCTCCGACAGAGGC